AGAAGCCCCACCCACACAATTTGATTCATGTGGACTGTGGAAAGTCTAGCACTGAGATCCAAGAGTAATGACTGCTTAGCACTCAAATTGGGAACAAGATTCAATAAGAATATGTTTGTCATCCATTAACATCACTCTAATCCATCTTCCCTTTTTTAGAATGTTTATTTTTCTACACTTATCTTTTTTTAAGCTACAACTATTTAGTCTACTCCCTCCCCTCGTAGAAACAACACACGTGACATTAGCTCTGCGGAGAAAAATAAAGAAGAAACACAGAGTGGAGGCAATGCCAAAAAAAGAACAGAAGAGGAGGATGAAGAGGAGGCCTCTCGTGGTGTGTTTTAACAGCTGTGTGTGATGCACTCTGTTAAATGTTGATGGGAATACGAGAAATAGGTTACCGGGCAAGTTGTAAAGTCTTGGATTGTGACTATTTCTCAACAAGACTTTGTCGGTTTAGGTCAAGGCAGGCGTTTTATGTCATGTGATTTGACTAAAACCAATTAAAAGTAAGCAAATTATGTGTAAAGCTACCTGTCCATGATGGGCCGTCTTCAGAATTCCTTTGCTTTTATGTCAGTCCGGCAGATGGGATGTGCATTTAAGCTCCCCATGTCACCATCCTCCCTCTTTCCTACATTTGTTTTCCTTATTGCTTTTATCCTTTCTTTTATCTCCTCCCTCATACCTTCCCTTCTCTCTGTACTGAGAGATGTTGGTTTATTTGCTTTCCCTTCCAGGCATTGCTGTTTCTTTTTGTAGTTTTAAATGCGTCTTCCTGTAGATGTTTGAATCTTACTTTTTTTTTTGTATTTAGTGTATTTCTTATTTGTGTGTGTAGAAAGGAAGATGAGGAAGCTGGGTTAGGCATTCAGGGTCAGGTTCACAGTAAATCTCTCAGCCTTGTGAATGTGGAGAGCAGAGAGAATGTAAACAAACAGACTACAGCTGTCACACACTCATGAGGAGGGACAACGTGAAGAGAGTTAGAGGCAGAGAAAAAACAAAGATGATGGAACGTGTACCAACACACAAAGCTTCACATTGACACGTCGCGCAAAAACATCAAATCCCCTCCTCAAACAAACAAGTGCATTACGAAGGCTGGGGTGTGGTGGGGGCTGGGGTGTGGTGGGGGGGGGGGGGGTGTCATTCTTCAACATTCCCATTAATTCCAATCACACATCCAATAATTCCATTCTCTCTTCCACTGTAAATGCACAAAAACCCTCCTCGGCTTTATTCCTGTGCTTAACCCTTATACAGTAAATGCTAATAGCTTTTACAAGGATATGACATGCCCAGTCCTCTTAAGGCATGATGGGGCCTTGATGTGCAGGTTTAGCAGCTGACAGGTTAGCAGGTTTAGTTAACAGCCAACGTGCCTGCCGGTGCAGAGGGGGGATTTTGGAGGGCTTAGCTCAGAGTAGGCCACTGTTTCTCGGAGTGGCAGGCTTGACAGAACTGCATGCAGGGAAGTTATCATTTTAGTTTTAGTGTGAAGAAGAAGGGATCACCTTCACACCTGGGATTATCCAGCATGAAAGATGATTGGATTGAAATAGGATAGAATTGAAGTACATTTACAAGATGTTAATGGGTGCAAGAAAGGTGAAAAAGTAGCGGTGTTAAGAATCTGCATTACATTCAAGATATGGTCACTTAAATCCTTAAGGACTTTTTTCTACACTAAGCAGTTCTTCTGTTAGCCTGAAATGGAGTTGCAGCGAAGGTGTTAAAGAAACAAATCAACACAAAATCTAAATTACAAACATACCACCTGTAATGCTATTTTAATGCTATCTCAGAAAGGCTAGAGACAATTGCTAACTAATTGGTTGTTGTAGTTTGGTACAAACAAATAGTTCCTTAACATATTACACACTTCACAACGGGGTCAGTGGATTATTTTGAACCACGTCATGACTTCTGGGAAATGACGTTGCCATTCAAGTTTTCCAAATGTAGTTTTTGGCCCTTTGAGCAAACAAGACTGCCTTCTAGTTCCATTATACTCCAGATAAGTACAACTACGGCCCTATATCTTCAAAACTCACTCCAAAACAATCTAGATGTATAGCACAAGACAGATTTTGGTGTGAACTGTCCCTTTGAGGCCCTGTTACATTCCATACTGGAAAGTGGACATGCAGCATGTTCTGTTTCTAAGTGAAAGGCAACTTCATCTGTTTGCTCTTAGCTATAATCAGAGGCACATGTAATTCATTTAGTAGAGAGATATCAGCATTTTAATGACAGCTATAAATTGAATCCATATAAATAATTAGAACATGATTAAGATACAGATGTATTGGCTGAAATGGCTCAAAGTCCATGAGTCAGACTTACTGACTCATCCTTGCACTGGATGGACCCTTGCGAGGTTAAAGAGTGTAACAAACTCAGGATATACTAAATAGATATTGAGAGTTCAGGCGTTTAAAACGTTTGGATTTAAATGTGTTTTATTTTTCTGCTTGCCGTTTAATTAACAAACTCCTACCAATATTTTTTATTATCTTACCACATAATCTCTGTATGACAAGGTATTATCCGGAGCAATATAAACCCTTTTTTTCACGGTGAGACTTTCGAGGGGTATGTGTGAAGCAGCACGAAGGCTGCTAGTTAGCTAGTGTGTGTGTGAAGCAGCGAGAGCACTGTTCTCATGGGATTGTACCAAAGTGTTGTTTGTTCTTTACGCCTCCACTGGATAGCCAAAACCAGTGAAGGAGAACCCATAATTCTTTGCTGTGAGCAGTGCCTCTGCACATCCAATTGCATTAGAAGCCTATGGTAGAGATGGAGGCTACTTGTGCCAAGATTTAACCTGATTAGATCCAGATCCAGCCGTTCCAAAAGACAGCACAGGAGCCCCGGACCCATCTCACATTCTATTTCTGTCCTGTCTTAGTGCTTGCAAGTCTGTAGTGATAACATGGCACCAACCACACATCTATTAAGCTCCAGTGGCTTTTGCTTAAAGTTGCCATAAATGATAAAACACATATTTCCAATGGATGCGCAAAATGTTTTATATTAGCATCTAATGAGACTACAGTTGGATCTAATTCCTCAGCAATGCTGTCATTTCTTTCTTTGTCTTCTATCTTTGTTCTCGTCCCTTTCCATATTGCACTTCAGATGCTTCTTTGATATCTTTCTCATTCCTCCCCAGCCAGCTACCGGGTGTCATTTTCCCAATTTCCTTTTCTCCATTACTCCTTTCATCCCTCTCTTTCTCACCCTCTCAGTCTCTTCTGTGGTGGTCTTTTTATCGGATCAGTCTCAGGTCGTCGCCTCTGTCTCTCATGTGTTCCATCAAGGATGCAACCCTCGAACACACACACACACACACACACACACACACACACACACACACACACACACACACACACACACACACACACACACGCGCTCTCCTTCCAAAAGAGATGGAGGAGGAATGAAAGTAGGAATATGGTAGTTAAGACAAAAAAAGGAGAGGTTAAGTGAATTTAAGAAAGGAGTGACATAATGAGGAAGAATAAGAAAGATTTCCTTTTCTCTATTATACACGTCTCTGTACTTCTCTCCCAATTTGTCACTGAGATCCGATGCAGCTTGTTGACATGTGTAGGAAATGTTGGGGCTCATGCTGAGAGCTGCTTGTGTGTCTGGAAGAGTGTTTGTGGGTTTGTGCTTGGAGCTCTTACAACCCCTCTCCCACCTCCCATTCATTACACGCACACACACGCACTACAACACACACTCATTCACAGGGCCTGCCAAGGTTTTGGGTATGTGGGTAAATCTTTTGGCAACAAGGCTGCCAGCGTGGAGCTATGATGAATGCTGATGGCAAAGAGCATGGCCGGTCTCTGAACCAGTCACTTTCACACACCCAAACACACACACACACACACACACACACACACACACACACACACACACACACACACACACACACACACACACACACACACACACACACACACACACACACACACACACACTAATCAGATTCCCAGTGCGTGAGGGCCAAATGGCATCCTTCCACTGGTGAATGCTAATGTGACCAGTGGAGCTTGTGGGCTTGTGAAACAAGTATAGGGGGAGCCAGGAGAGATGATGACAAGAGAACATAGATGGGATTGTTTATTGGCGTGTGTGATGCTAGTGTGTCAACATTTGCATTCTTTTACAAATTGCGGGAAGTTGTACTTTGGTTTTAATTTGAGAGTTAGAATTACATTTGGCTGTGTGTGTGTGTGTGTGTGTGTGTGTGTGTGTGTGTGTGTGTGTGTGTGTGTGTGTGTGTGTGTGTGTGTGTGTGTGTCAGTGTCTTGCTGTATGGGTTTGGGCATATGTTAGTTTAATTATTATCGTTTTCTGTAGAACAACCCTATAATCTAGAGGTTTAAATTGTTGTTGGATGAGAACTGGAAGTGTTACATTATGTAACTAAAATAAAATGCATGATAGAAAAGGGATGTGTTAGACCCCTCATTTTACCAAATGTAAAACATATCACTTTGAATACAAGAACAATTTGGGGCTGATTTGTGTTTGCATTGAAGGAGACTTTCACAACAATAATGTGAAAGTATGGGAGTTGAGTGTTTCAATAATGTGTCTCTTACAAGCTATTATGCCATAAAGATGGGTGACAAATATTTATGTAAGAAAAAACCCAACATAAACTTTGCCATTTACAACAAGCCTGGGAAACAGCCTAAAGCAGCTTCCTAGACTTTCGTAGTCTCTAAACTCTACTTGAGGGATGAACACCAATCGTCCAAAGCACATTCTCTCAATTTGTGTTTGGATAAAATTGGCAAAAGCAATGTTTAATATCTGGCTCCAAAATGATTGCAAAGACCATTTCATATGATTATGATTATGATTATTTAGTCATCACTTGCACCCAGTTCTGTTGTGTTTTTCCTGTCATTTGTCACCCATCTGTATGCACAGTTCAATGCGGTTCTAGTGTCCTTGAGTGCAATGTAAAACATTTACTCACAGCGTTCAATGCGGTCCTCAGGGCTGGAGGAGGTCTCTCGATCAGACAGGAGGCCTGACACAGCGAAGATCTTTTTCCCACTGTCCTCGACGGCTTTCAGGGCGCTGCTGGGAGAACTTCCAGGAGGAATCTGGGAGCCGCCAAAGTCGTACTCTTTCCCCTCTGCATCAGAGTACCGCAGGTGGGGTGAAGCATCTGGATCCAGGCAGCCTTTGAGGCGCTTGGCCGGGGTGAAAGCAGACTGATACGCGCTGGGCAATCCGTCCCGATCGTCTGGAGATGCAAAAGGCCTGAAGGCGCCAACGCCGCTGTGGTTCAGCATGCTGATTGGCGAGCAATCCAGGTTAGGCGGGGCAAACTGATGATGGAGGTGGAGGAGGGACGGAGGAAAATCCCTGTTGGGGAATCCCGGTGGGACTCCACCCTGGCGGTGGTACATTGATGCAAAAGTATAAGAACCATTGTTAAATGGCAAATGGACATCCTTGTCAACAGACACAGGGACGCCAAATGGACGTGGCTGCTGGCAGGGAATTGAGGCATCTCGAGAAGCTTCAGCAGTGGAGGCCAAGACCATGAGGGCCGGCGAGGCCAGGGGGTTGGGAAGGTAGGAGGAGCTCTCCATCTTGAAAGCTGCCCTGTGGAGATCCATGTTTGGACAGAATAAAGAGGTTGTATGGATTTTGGGGGAGGAGGAGATGATTCCTCCTCTCTAAATTTGATACAATGTCCAAGACCCTTGAAAAGGGTTTGAAGAATTAAGGGAATCTGGGTTGGAGACCTAAGGGAATTGGCTTTTTAAAGGTTAGGGCTCAGAAAAGAGCTGTTTGTACTAAAGAAATGTATTAGCTAAGAAATCAGCCAATGTCAGTGCTTGTTAACTCAAATTAAATTCATTTCTCTTCAGTGAAGCTAAAGTGAGTTAATCTGTCTCCAGCCAAATGCACTTGAGCTTAGTTCAGTCCAGATCATTCCGTGCCAGGTAGGTGCCGTTGGGTAAAGTCCTTTACACGCTTCACAGTTTGGACGACATCAGTCCTGATTATAAATACAATAATTTGTCAAGTTAATGTTCTTCCTCCCAGGTAATATGAAGTAAAGGCCTCCCACTTGAAACGTTTGTTGGACGTGTTACTCAAGCCGGATGGTCGAAGGGGGGGTGGACATCCGTAGGTCCTCAAAGCTGGTTCTTCATCTTCATGTGGTTGCCAAACTGAGGGGACACAAAACACAAAGATTAGTTTTATTTTCAGAGAGCTGCTTTGTTGTTTAGGATTCAAGGGTTTTTCAAAATCACAAAGACCGTAAAGCTGCCGTTTGGGAGATTCTCTCTTTACAGATTACTTGAGATTTCAGCATTTAAAGGTGGGGTAGGTAAGTTTGAGAAACCGGCTCGAGATACACTTTTTGTTATATTCCATGGAATGCTCTTAACATCCCGATAGCAATGAATATCTGAAGTGCTTTGACAAAAAATCCATAAAAAAATGTCATCTGTGGAAGCCGTAGTACTGTAAAAAGCAGGACCAATCATTTTAGCCGGCCCGGCTAAAATAACTGGATGGCCTACCTGCCTGTCAGACTTCCATCTGTGCACAAACTTTTCTCGTGCCCTCATTGGTCATGTGCGCGTTCGTGTGTGTTGGAGGAGGGTCTCTGTAAGGGAGTAGCAGATTTCTTCCGGCTGTGTCTTTTCAAATTCTAGCGCAATCGAGCTGGTTTCTCCAAAATTACCTACCCCACCTTTAAAATATATTTTCTGTGCAGACCAAAATTGCCTAAATTTAGCTCAGCCAAAATAGTAATTATAATCCCTATTGACACCCTTTCAGGTTCAACTTAGACCGCCTTGTCTTTTCTTAATGATAGGTGCTTTCAGAGACAAGAGGCATGCTTTTTCAACTGATAGAGATCAATGCCTTGACCTCAATCTGTTTGTAGTGGGAAGAGCTGAGTGGAAAATGCGTCTGGTAGCCAGGGATTGAAGTTAAAACCTTTGGGGACGCAGTGTTCTTAAGCGGTTACTGTTGTTGAAGCCACAAATTCAGATCCTCTTGGGAAAAAGTGTCCTTCAGTTGACACTGTTCATGAAATCCTGTAAATCCCTGCCCTTTGACAAAAAGCCAAGAACTATTTGAAAACCCCAAACTTCTCTCACTTTCCCCTCCCCTTTTCCTCCTGCTCTTTAAAAAACCTCCCCAAACTGTTTCCACATCACATCTTTCCATTCCGATCTCTACAGCCCTCCACGTCTCATCTCTTCCCAAATGTCCTCTCCTCGTCCTCCATCCTCCTAATCTTCTCCTCCTCTCCTCTCCATCCTCATCTCCTCATCTCATCTCCTTAGCGCTATCTCTCCTTCCTTCCTTCCTTCCTTCCTTCCTTCCTTCCTTCCTTCCTCCCTCCCTCCCTCCCTCCTCCATCTCAGATCTTGGTCTAAGCCGCTTAGTCCTACCATCTCCCAGGATCTTACTGGACCAGAACCACTTGTCTTAAGATAAGGACACACATGCATGTACACACATTTCACCCACACACACATCTGATAAAAAGCCATGTGGCTGGATGTTCAGCTTGACACCAGAGCCGGTGTCAAGCTATACTCGATGCTACCCCCCTATCTCTTTATCAAACCACTTTTAATTCCCCAATTTTTATCAGTCCTCCGTTTATTTTAACATCTCTCCTGTCAATCTCTTCTCCTCTCATCCCTCTCCCTCCCTTCCCCGTCTCCCCTGCTCTCTTCTCCCTCGGGTGATTCCGATGGGTGATATCATATCAGGCCTCTCCATCTGCCAGCCACGAGCCAGAGGAAATCTGACTGAGTGAATAAATTAGCCGTACTTGACCTCCCGACCCCCCCCAGCATCCGTGGCAACAGACTAGAATCTTCTCTCCCGGGGATTAGAGCGGAGCGTTCAATTGGCCGGTCGAAGGAACGCAGAGAGGCAGCCGATAAAACGACAAAATAACGTTTCAGAGATTTTTATCCCCAAAGGGCAATTTGAAGGTGGCTGGCACGTTAGGCGTCCAATATGTTAAAGATTTTGAGTAGGTGAAGATGTGCTTGTCATACATAAGTGATTGTGGGATTGTGTGCATCGTTCTGGATTTTAATAACAAAAATATGATCGGCTTACATGCAAATAGGTTATCATGAGTAATTGTACTTCATTTTATTAAATCAGATAACATTAAATGCCACTACGTAAAATGTTGGTTATATTATCATAAAAGTCACCGCTGCCATCAGAAAAATTCAAGACCAATATAACTTGAAAGGTCAAACTCGAAGTCATGTGAACACGTACATAAACACTCAACAAACACAGTATCAAGTAGCGGGCCGCTCTGACACAAGCTTCAAAGCTATGTTGACGACCCGCCAACATCAAAGGAGAAACTCCCTGGGAAATGAAAGGAAAAAATATTTTATAGCTATCAGCTGTCAACAACACTCATTCGAATCAATTTCCAAACCTGATCTGGGCTTTGGCACGCTCCCCCACCTCCCACACACACAAAGCAACAACTGCCAAGAGAGAGGGGAAAGGGCCCAGAGACAGAGAGAGATGGGGAGATGTGAGATGTTTTACATTACCGCAAATGTACAGTAGACTACTGTGGAGTGTTGAGAACGGCTTACGCTAACACGCCTCTGGTCTGGCCAGGAGTCACATTACCCGCCTCTCTTCCTCCTCTGCCTCATCAGCCTACCTACCGCAATCCATCCCAGAATTAGAACCTTAAAAATGTAGCCATCACAAAACTTTTCTTTTTCTTTCTCCCCCATCTCTTTCTCTGTCTATCAGTATCATCCCTCTCCTCCTCACCCTCTCTTGAGCTTTCTCACTTTCTCTGCCGGCGTCCTCTCTCTGTTCCCGTTGTATATCAGATCACACTTTCTCCTGTATAACCTCTAAAGTAGGAGTGTGTCTGAGGTGTTGATAGCGAGGTAATACACTGATAAGTACCGGGATATTTCAATTTTATTATCATTACCCAGCAGGCAGAGGGGCGGCGAGTGAAGGGCCGCCAACGCAAAGCAGCCAATCCAATAAGAGGACACTCGATATTCCCTTACAGGCCAGAACTAGAGAGGAGAGGAAACAAGGAGGTGGAGAACAGAGGGTGAGGAAACAATAGGAAATAAGAGAAGAGGATAGGAAACAATCAGATGAGAATAGAGGAAACAAGAGGAGAAGCGAAGAGACAGGAAAGGAAACAAACAGAGGACATGAAGCAAAAAGAGCCAAAGGGAACAGGATGGGAAAAGAGAGAATCAAGGGACAAGAAAGATAAGGAGATGCAAGGAGAGGAAATAAGGAAAGGAGAGGAGAGAAGAGGGTGTGATATCAGAGCAAAGGGTACACATCTCATCTCCCTGGGTGATTGACACAAGCTGGCGTCCTTCTGGCCTTGTGTGCATATGTGAACACACACATACATGTGTGTGGGGGGGCCTGGTTAAACTGATACCATGGAGCCTTTCAATTGTCTCCCTGTATTCTAGCTTTTCTATTTGCTTTTGTAAGGATGCTTTCACCTATGCAAAACATTATTCTGTGTGTCATTTCAACTACACTTGTGAAACGACAGCGTTAAAAGTGTCATACAGCTTCCAGAAGTAAGTGATGTTTCTCACCTTATCTCTAAAACAACAATCATAATTCCGGATGACATGCACCTATGCATGTCATCAATATACAAGCGCAATTACATCTAACGCACACACGCATAATGTCACTCGGTGCCACTTACAATCCCATTTGCCACCGAGGGATACCACCCACACATTGTCTGACACCGGGTATGCATTTTATAATAGAAAATGTCACAGGGGAACATTTACCACGCTGTCATAATTTGATTACAGTGTGCAAGAATGATACAGCTGTTGGCGCGATATTAAATACAAACAGCGAGGAGGGCTTTTCACGTCAAATCTGCACTTTAAGTGACAGTGTCATGCCAGTCTGCAAAATTGCAGTGTCAACAACAATGTGTTTTAACATCATTCTGAAAGGGAGTTTGACACGGGAAATATGAGCTACTGAGAGGGGGGCAGCGAGAGAAGTCACAGATTCTATGAGAAAATAATTTGTAAATGTGGTCATGAACGTTATTATTGTTCTTTAAGAATAATGATAGGATGTTATTTGCTTGTTGGAGAGCTCAGGGAAAGGATTTCCGGGGTTAAGGACGTTTTGATGGTGGTATTACGGATGCAAAACATCATATTAGGCGTCCCATGACAAGAAAGATGGTGGTGCTCCTATGTAAAGTCCTGGATTCAGAAACATAGGATCAGAAAAGTGGAAGGGGAACAAAGGGATACACATAACTACACTGGTGACAAAGAGTACTTGTTTTATCGAAGCCTTCCTTTTTTGTTGACTGGTCGGAATAAATATTGTTCTTGCATGGCTGCTTTGAGTGTGTAACCGACGCTTTGGCTGTGCCAACACGATGCTGAAACTTGTCAACTCGAGTTTTCCAGTTTGTCTGCTGAGTTTTGGAGAGGAACGAAAAGGAATCCAATTTTGGATATAAAAATGTCTTGTCGACTGTGACTGGTGTGTGTGTGTGTGTTTGACTGTCGAGGCTGTCGGGAAGTAAAGCAGTCGAAGTTGATTTTTTCTCTTTTTTTTAATGGAGACATAGAGAAAGGAGTCAAAACCGCAGGCCTGTCTAAATGTGTGTGTGTATGTGCACGTGTGTGAGAGTGTGGGCACACACTTCTCGGTCCATGGGTTTATATTTAGAGATTGTTGACAGGCGTGAAAGTGCCACTTTTACATTTTATGCCACTCTTAAATTCTCTCACACATCACTCATACATACCGGATAAGGTTTAGATAACTTTGAAACTAGAGTTACCTAAGTGCATTAAAAACCATGTTAATACATGATTCCCTAAAGAGATTTAGATAATAAGCAGAAATGTGAAGCTTGTAGTGTTAAAAAGAAAACTCTCCCAAGAACAAAATGTTCACAGCCAAAAAGGCCTGAACCTCCTGTAAAACATTATAGCTATTAAAGTTTACCCTCAGCCTCTGCAATGTTTTTACTCAACGATTTCTTACTCAACCCAGGTAGTTACAGAACTGTACTTTTTAACCACTCCAAAAAATCAACCACATAAACATTTATGGGAAACCATCAACGTCCTGGATCATCAACAGAGCAAGTTACATGAATGCAGTATTTGGA